AATGTCCAAAATAATTATGGATTGATAGGCTCATCAGGTTAATTTATTTAAATAACCTGGTGAATGAAACCCCACAGGTGAACTAAATTCATACATTATTTAAGTTCCTAGTTCGGAATCATTAAAGTGGACATAAATGATTTCATAAATTGGACTAGCATGTAAGATTGATTGGATAGCGCAGTTTCATGGGCTATAGGAGCGTAGTGAAGCTCGGTCAATCACATGGGTATGCATGAATGATGCATGATCGAACTATAGACCTACTTTGAAGTTCAAGTATAGAACTTCCGGATATATTAGTGGATTCCTTTGACATGAGTGGAACATTGATTTCATTCAATGATTGATGTAACTGTGTACATTCAAACGTCTTCCCGTAACTGGAGATTATAAAGGGTGTTTCCTGGTTACCTCATGATTTGAGTGGGAGCCTTGGTTGCCACAAGATTGGATTGAGTCTACCTATTAAATAGGAATGTGTCTTGGCCCCTTGAAGAGGGAAAATTCAGAAAATGCATGGTCGTGCTCAAATGGATTACATAGTAATCATTTGTTTTGTAATTCTAACTCAGTTTTCAAGAAAAGATTTGTAGATTAATATGATCACGACATGAGATGCAATCATATTATCAAATCGACACATATTGACTTAAGGAATTTGAATATTGCGCACTTGTCTCAGACAAGTGGGAGATTGAAGGAATTGTGTCTTCGATAAGTGCAATTACTAGATATATCAAGGATCACTATTATGGAGATAATAAGTTCGTTCTTTTGGGTCGTCATTATCTGTTGCTAGACTATGATCAATGATCTTTGGGCTAGTCAAATAGTCCAAAGCCTACTAGAATGGATCCTATGAGGTCACACAACAAGGGTATTGGGTTAAGCAAGTAAGAGGCCCATTAATGGGCCTCATGAGCAACTAACTAATCATGAAATGGATTGGGCTAGCATAGTTAGATGAGAATTAGGTTTTGGGCTTTTAACATGCTCTTATTTAGAGATAAGATCTATAAATAAGATCCATGCCTAGGGTTGCTTGCAAGCAGTCATAATTCACACACAGTGTATTTTGACATCAAGGCAACCAATCCCAAAGACCCTAATTCCTCTCTCTAACTCACGACTTTCTCTCTCCTCCCCTCGTCCGTACGGTTGGCCACCTTGGTGGGGCGTGTGGTGGTTCGTGGTGGTTCATGGTGGTTCGTTGCTCGCACTTCTCCATAGAAGGTCAATTGAAGGGTTCAATTGCAACTAACTAGCATTAGTGGAGGTTTAATCCATGCCCGTGGACTAAGTAGAGGAATCACGCTTGGGGTTCTTTATCTCCCATTGTTCTTGTTCGATCGCACGTGGAATCACGCTTCAAAGGTACGATTATATGTTCTTTATGTGTTATGCATTAGATCTTGGGATTAGGTACTGTATGAATATGATTCTTGTTTATTTCCGCTGCGTAGTACCTATAATTCCCTACAGTTACTCCATCATTATTTCCCTCTGAGGTGAAAGTATGGTATTGCAACACCCCCCATTTACTAGCTAATAATAAACAAGAATTAAAGGAAAAATAAACAACCTTTGAATAAAATGCGGAAGCATACACTTAAATCGAAAGTATTACTGCCACACTCAACAACCTGCAAAATGTTAAGGCTTACAAATCCCAACAATACAACCCAATAAATCTAATTGAGCTATTTATACAACTTTACAAACTTGTAATAATAGACTAATCGAAACACTTGAGCTCCTTTAGCTAGGTACGATTACTTGATTAACCTTCTTAGACAAACTTGATTGCTCCCCATTTAGGACAAATTCCAAAATAGATTGTCACAGGACCACCATAAGAAAAATACTTGGCCGCAAACACAAGTAATACAACAACAACAAACAAATACATACGTCAGTAATCACCACATATCATAATATAGAGTATAATAGAATAATTGACAATGCTAGCTCAATTATACAATTAATGTAATGTAATTCAAAACTACATCACACATTGATACCTCAAGGGTAAGATAACTTTGTACTCTGAAAAGTAACCATTGTCAAACCCAACCTCGAATAAAAATACAATTCTGCACTCAAATCTCTTTCCCATAAGTGTGTCATGCTCTTTGCTCGATACCTAGCCTTGGACATGGGTAATTCGAATAACAAACCATGTATTAAAAACTTGAATACTCTCAATAACCAAAAAAACACCTTAAACCAGACCACATATGGGTCAATCCTACTGTAGGGGACCATAGAAAAATATAAATAAAGATTGTACCTCATTCTTAAAGATTGAACCTCATTCTTAACTGATGATTATCATCATTCACCAATATGCCAAGGACTAAGGTAATAAACACTGAGCCTCAAACCAGGATTAAAATAATCATTCACAATCTAATAATAATAACTCAACAATGGCACATGTTCCCAAATAACATAACAATTCGAACTTGATTAATCATAAATATCTCAACTCTTATAGGGAAATCAAACTAGTACCCAAAATTGATTAACTCACAACCCAAAAATAATACTCGTCATTAACAACCCTAAAACCTTGATAAAACAATACTCCCTATAGCAACAACACTATAAATCCTAGAAATAATAACACAATTTATCATATAATAATACAACACACTAATTACACATATATAAATCTTGATCATACAAATAAGAAATCAAAAATTTATTATACAAAGAATACATAGAACAATCAATGCACACAGTTATCATACAACTCAAAGAATTAAGATGTGATCACATATAATAATAGGAATAGGCAAACAAAGTGTGATTACATATAATAAGCAATTTAATCAATTTAATCAAACATCTCCAAAGAAGTTTGTGTGATTATATATTATAATTTATACAATCAAATTATAATCACACAACTCTAAAAGATTGATAGTGTGATTACCTTTCCGATTCATACCCAAACAATCGAAACACTGTTAAGGTTCGGACCATGAAATTACCATGCTAATGCTTCAAATATAATTAAGCGTGAATATTGATTGCGAATGCCGATCTATCAAACTAATAAATATGATAATACACATAGGGCTTCTAGATGAAACTCTCGGCTACACCATAGAAGAATAAAGTAAAACAAAATTAGTTTAAAGAATAATGGCTATAAATCTTCAAAACTCTCGGCAACAGGTTTTATAGCTAGTAAAGGTGTATTTATACCCTCTCACAAAAAGAGATTAAATTTCCTTAATAAAATATATTATTAAAATTTTATCAAAATAATATATTTATATATATAAAAGCTTCTAATTTTATATTTTATCAAATCGCAAAATATGCGGGTATTACAATCTACCCTCCTTAAAACAAGTATTGTCCATAAACTTAAAATAGAAAAATATAGGGTATTACAATATACCCTCCTTAAAACAAGTTTCGTCCGGAAACTTAAGGTAGAAAAAAATAACTTGTAAATTTAAGAGAGAGTAAAAACTAATAACCAAACTTTTCTTTATAAAATATATAGATAGAGTACTAAAATAGTAGGGGTATTACAGTTGTCATGTTTCCCTCCGATGAACTAGAAATGGAGGAAAGTTAGGCATTTACAAATGCATAACAAGGGGTATTCATGTAATTATACATATATACAAACGAATGCATATTCTGGTATCATTGGATGATCAAATGGTACCACTGAATATATATGTTGATACTTATATATGCACATAATGGAATTATATATGCATTCAATTGTATAAAATTTATGCATAAATAGTATCACTGAGGATTCAATGGTACCATATAAACTTTCAGTGAAACAATCAACATGTGGTCCCCCATCACGTGATACAATCCGACCAAAAAATAGGTGGGGTTCACCTACAGACCTCTCTCTTCTTTTCTCTCTATATCATGTATTTTAATAATATTTTAATCAATGTTATGCATTTACAAATGCTTAACTTTCCTCCCTTTAAAATTCCTTGTTTTCCTCCACCATTGTAACACATGTCATCCATATATAGGTTCACGTGTCATTATATGTTTGATCATCGTGAAGTGGTTTTTTACCCTAGACACTAATAATTTGAATACCAATTTTATTTTAAAAAAGTCATACCAAACACAAATTAATACATTAAAGTATTAAGTTAAGATGTGGATTTATCAAGGTAGCTAAGAGCTTATGCAAACAGACCCTTAGCATAGGCTCCCGTGAATTAAAGGTTCGAATAAGATGAAGGCTATTAAAAAAATTCTCAGCGCTTTGCTCTCTCACCGATCTCGCACATCAAAATTCAACTAAAGGAATTCAACATTCCAAATTTCAAGATTTCTACTCCATCAATCATGTAATTTTCCATAGTTGGTTGGATGACATGATTAATTTTCCTGATGATATGATTGATTGTCTGGATGATTAGTCGCTATAAAGAAGAAATTTCTAAGACAAGTACTCTGTTTTCCACACCAAAAGTTTATAAATTTTTAATTGTAACGAGATACCAAAAGAGAGGTGTATCCATGAGTGTGTTTTTGGCTTGATTTACCAATTTTCTTCATTTTAAATCATCCAAATGTAATTAAGCAATAAAAATCACTGGATTTAGCTTTGGCATACCTAAGAATAAGATCATGGTGTCCTTGATACTCTATTGGTAGTTGTAGATAGAGATTTGGGGGGTTTTTTTTTTCTCCTAAATAATGAAAGATCATTTGTCCCCTTAGCAAAGAGTTTAAGTTAAATTCTCCATACATACTTTTCCTCATCTACATTTCCATTTTCCTATTCGATTTTTCTTGCAAAGAAACAAGGACCAATTTTTAAAATTATGTTTTCCCTGGAAAACTATTTTACATAGTATAAAACAATTTCCCTTATTTTTGTTCCATGCCACGTAAACAAAGTTCACATTATCCTACCGTTGATGAGATCTTATAATATATGTCAAACAAGTCAAGATGGATTTAACTGTCAATATACATTTCTAGGAAAATTATGTTGCAAAAGGATCAAAGATAGAAGCTACTTCGTATTACGGATCTGTTTACAATGTTTTAAAATGAGAATTTCGAAATTTTAATTGCTGTTTTTAGTTGTCAAAGGAATATAAACAAGATGAGAGAATAAACAAAATTGTAGTTTTGTCCAGGACAGACCACAAAAACTGAAAAATCGTAGTTACAAATATGTCATGGTAAGCAATTTGTGATGAGGTTACGCTGAAGCCAAGCAGCATCCACAGCGCTGTCAGTTTAAAATCAATGAGATTCAATGTCGTGATTTCAGATGCTTGAAATTCCCTGTTATGTTTTGACATCAGAGATTAGTGCAGTTGAGCTTGAAATATAATCATACTAAAAGTCTTAACCATTTTTATGGAGAAACTAGAGCTGTAACAACTCCAATAAGTTAAAGAGAAGAAGAGCATAGCAATGGGACGAGCTCATAAAAGACCATTGCACCAAATAAAGCAACCTTGGTAAGCAACATTTACCATAGATCAATCTAACAGTAACTAGTTTTCATGAACCACAAGGGGATATTTCAAAGATGGATACATTTATTCCCAAAATTACCTTATCTATCGAACATCAGTTATCAAATTTGTAGTGATCTCTGTATAGGTCTTGGAAGTTTAACATTTATGCCACCAGGAGCACTTCCTTTTCGAAACTAAGATGTGAATGAAATGGCTTGGTTGGACAGGACCAATTGCTCTGAGCATGTGGTACGATAGATGTCGTTAAGAGGATATGGTACATACTATATACTGCAGTCCCATGGCTCTGTGTTCACAAATGGTTAAATGAACCTCATAGTGTATCATTTTTGTGTTTACGAACAAAATTATCAAAAAAAAAAAAAAAATTAAAAAAAAAAAAGATCTAGCTAAACTATAGTGTTTGGTTAGGATTGGTTTGGGGCAAAAAGGGAGGTTGAGTAGCTAATAGATATTACAAATACAAGTAGCTATTAAAACCAGCTCATGTCAGTAACTAATAGCTAACCTCTCGTCATCAGACTGTGCCTAAAAAACTACATAAAGAATTTCGATTCAGATATAAGTGCTATAGCCTTGTATAGAAAATGGTGTAAAAAACTACCTTACAAAGCATTTAATGTTGTAAAATTGTACCTTTTGCCGAGTTCTGGGAGTTAGACTATTTACCAACGTTGACTTTTCTTTCTTTTTTTTTTTCTTTTTCTTTTTTTACTTCCTTTTTCCCTCCAATGTTAGGAAGTTGATGATTACTACGAGTAATTGATAGGCGCTAAGTCGCCACATTCTATTCTAACTCTTCCCCTACAAATAAATTGGCAAATGCCTTTCCTTAGTCCCTGCAAAACATTCACTTAGCTTCTTTTTCTCTCCTCCTCTCACATTAATTACATGCTAAAAAAACAAAGCATCATCTATGGCAAACAACATCAAAACCTTGAAGAATTTGCATTTCTTATCTCACTTGTAACAAATGAGCAATATTCTCAAAAGAGTTTGCAAAACAATACGTTTAAAGTAAAATCAAGAGTCCAATCCACCAATTTGGGTTTTTTTTTTTGGGTTGGGTCTTCTTCAAGATGAGGGGAGAGAAATTTGGGTTTTGGTGGGTAATTTATGAAGGAAATGAGAAAATCATGAGGGCCTAGAGAAGAGAGAAGGAAAAAATTACAAGGAAGATATAAAAAATTTGGGTGAAAATGGAGAGAAAAAGGAGGGAAAAAATATTAAAAAAATAAAAAGTCAATGCTGGCAATAGACAAACTCACGGAAACCAGCGAATGGTACTTTTTTACAACAATTTATGCTTCATGAGGTAATTAATTACCAATTTTTATTTTATTTTTTTTATCTATGTTAATTTTTCACAATATCGATTTTTATAAGGTAGTTTCTCACGAAATTATATGCGGTATCAAGAATGATATTAAAGAATTATGCCTTATTGAAAATATATACTTTTTTTTTTGACAGGAGAATATATATATATTTATAATTGATTTGTTAGTGTCAAGTAATAAATTATTCTCATAAATTTATTTTAGGTTTCGTGCTAAATTGTATTCCACAAAATTATACCGGTATCAAGATAAGACTAAACAAGACCAAAAGTGAGAAAATGTGATAAAACTATGTAAAGAAGCTAAATCCCAATTTTGCCTATTAAAACAAATAAAAAAAAATGTAACTAGAGTCTACAAGATCAGCATATACATTCAATGAATATGCTCAAAATGCCGGGGTCAAAATGATCTAGCATGACATTGATCCTATATGAAGGCATGTGAAAATAAGGAAAGAACTACTTGAAAGAGTAAAGTTCTAACTCAATGTAGAATGTGTGTCTCTGTGCTTTGCTTGGTCCCACGATGATATGATCGCTGACGAAGAAAATATACGAACTGAAGTAGTATCTAATCAAAGTGATTAAGGACCCAACAATGCCTTGTAATTCAGGAAACAAATACAACCGCATCAAACATACGCAGATAACTATTATATGTGCCATACATTCTTCCTTCCATTTAAAATTTTGACTTAGGCCAACTGCCCAGAACCCAAGCACATAAATGTAAATATTTACCAAACTGAAAACAAATGTAGGAATGTGAAATTATTGATTTTGTACAAGATAGGAACTAGGAAGGAGTGAATCTGCAAAAATATTTTAAATGTCTAAGGGGTTTTTAAAATAAAATAAATATATTGATCTTCTAGATATTCTATTGAATATAGTATCTCTAGGCAAAGAAACACCATATATGATACTTAAGGATACAAATGTGTCAAGAAGTGCACAGCCTCCTGCATCAACCAGCCATGGAAGGTTTGGGAAAATCTTCGACCACTCCAAGCTATTAACTAGTATGCTGCATGATAAACATTAAACATCAGCTAGAGTCTATGAGTTGTTAACAATAAAGAAAATAAATAATCCCCCTCTAGAAGTATCTTACGAAAATAAATAGAAAAACTGACAAAATATTATACATTCTATTATTCACAGACAGCAAAGAAATGTATAGTTTTGGGAGCATATATATATATATATATATATATATATATATATATATGTGTGTGTGTGTGTATATATATATATATATATATATATATATATATATATATATATATATATATATATATATATATATTCATGTAAAAGCATAGCCCACAATCTTATACAATTTTTCACAGAGGAATTCACCACCTTATATAGATCAATCAAATCCTTGCACTTGGAACCAAACATTAACAGGAATTTTCTGGAAAAAAAAATGCACATGTGCCCTCAGCTAATGTCATATTATGTTGAAAAGGTATCCAGCAGCTTAGGGTAGTAGGAAGCCTAATAGAATTATTAATTTTCAATCACAAGACCTAATAAGAAGCAACACTGTCACTATGTACATTGACCCGATAAAGGATTCTTAGAAGGGCTTTACTCGTGTCTTCATCCTTTAACCATGAAAAGATTATTAGCTTATAATTTCTGCTTAATGCGGACAAAATATAATGGTTAGTTCACGGAGTGCAGAAGAAATTTGTTTCCCATATAATATAATTTATGCTTTTTTTGTTTAATGATGTTATTTTACAAACTGGTAAAAGACTTCAGCCTAGCTAGCTCAGGAGCTTGAAATGTCCAAAGCAGTATGAGCATAGCTGGTGGCTGCTCCCATATCATGTTCATAGCATATGAGCATTCCATTATCTATAATTCTATTTCAAACAAGATTTTTTCTATTAGTACTTAAAATTGTAACATGCTTTTAAGAAGTGCAACTATGCCATGACTATGCACAAGTTTTTACAAGGACCCGTAACATAAAAAAAAAATTGAGTCACTTGCTACAAGCATAATGGTGAAGGAAAAATTACTGCCACCCCCCCCCCCCCTCTCTTCTTTCAAGACCATAATAGATGACTAGGTTGAGCACTTTACTAATTATAATCATAGGCAGCAAATTAGTAATTAGGAAGGATGAAGGGTTAAGCTGAAGTTGGGAGAGATAACTAGAAATGTTACATGACTAAGCAATTAAATTTCTACAAGAAAAGTAGCCAAATGTGTCAACAATCTTTTATCCATCCCTCTTTTCATACAATCCTACCAAAAATAATAGGTAAACATTCAGAAAAGTTGGAGTAAACTACTCCCTTGGTTTTCTTTTGTTTGTCTCATTTGAAATCTTGAGATATTCTAATGGATATGGAATCTAGTAATTTAATTGTTTTTTTTTATATATATATTTCAGAACATATATTGTTGGATTCGGCTCGAATTTTAGATTTTTGATATGCAATTTTATTGTTTTTTGTAATGTGTAGCTAGAGATATTTTAATTACAAAGTTGCATTGAAAACTGTGTAGATACCAAATGGGACAAACATATAAAAACACATCAGGTCTCTAAATAACTTGATAGGATTTTACAAAAGAAAAAGGAAAAAAATTCTTTTAATAATTTAACAATGAACAAATAAAAACTCAGTATTTAATATTTATCAGAAATACCTGGCCACATAAGTTGTATTTCCCAACAATGCAAACATGAACATCAGTGGATTGAGCCCCTGTATCCAACAAAGTACTCAAATGGCTCAATATTGGTTATCAGTTTGTCCAGACCTGAATTAATAAAAATAAACTCTGTATAGTTTACTTACCTCAACATGGCCCCTTTTAAACTGTAAAATTGAAAAATATATCAGTATGTGATTAATAGTAAAAATTCACAAGTTGCAAATTTTGAGGATGAAGATAACTTGATTGGTGCAAAAGGATTAAAACATACAATGAAAATGTAACTGTATCTTTATTACAAGGTGTACATAGATTAATGACTTAGACATTCTAAATTCGGGCCCCAAATATATACAAACAAAAGAAGCTGGTTTTGGGAATGAGGAGCATTAGCCTTGTTGTACAAATTCTTATTCTAGCAGTTATCGCACAAGGAGCAGCAAAGAAGGAAAATTTCCACTCCAGTGCCTAAGATTTGACATAATTTCACTTTGGTCCCCCATGGTTTCACTAATTCCACTTTGTGCTCTGAGCTTTTAAACTTTGTTTCATTATGATCCCCGTAATTTGGTAAATCAAAACAAGAATAGTAATTTGTTTAGTCTTATTTCATCAAAAAAATCAAGTAAAAAAAAAAAACTAATAATTGCACTTTGCTCCAAAAAAAACTTATATTAATGTTCAATGTTATTGCACATGATTAACTCCGTTAGTCATTTTTTTATTTTTTTTTTTATTTAAAAAAAAAAAAAAAAAAAAAAAAAAAAAAAAAAAGGCTACTCTTCTAGCCTCTTCAAGTAAATTTCTTTCACATATATTTATTCTATTTCAACGCGAACTTTTCTCTAGTAAACAAATTTAAATTTAACATAACTTTTTTTTCCTTTATTGAATAATAATCTTTTGTTACTATAATTTCTCCTTCAAAAAACTGAGTAATAATATATACAAGGAGAAAATTAGACAATCAAAAATTGTTTAAATAAAGAGTAATCTATCATCCCTGTCAGTATTAATATTAACATAAACATATTTTCAAAAAAAAAAAAAAAACTCTTTATAATGAGATTGACAAATGACAAATTTTTTTCCTTACAATGAAATAAAACTTAAGAAGTTGATTTGTAGTTACAAAAGTGAGCATTAATACATATTTTAGGGCACCAAATAAAAGAAAAGTATAAATTTCAGGACAGCGAAGTAAAATTACCAAACTTTGCCATACTGAAACAAAGTTTATAAGCTCAAGAAATAAAGTTGTATTATTGAAACCACGGGACACCAAAGTGGAATTATGTCAAACATCAGGGAACCAAGGTGGAAATTTTCCTTTATAGAATTACAAGTGAAAAGCTTCTCTCAACATCTGCACTTATTCATGGTGCTGATTCCATTTTAAGGGATTATCTAAACAGATATGCAGTCTATTTACCATCCATGTGGTTCAATATTGTTTACTGTATAGAAGGGGGAGGGTTGGGCAGAAGAGTGGATGTAGATCCCTACACTGTATCCTGTTTTAGTTCCTTCTATAGGCCTCCCTTTCTCGAAACAAAGTATGGTATAAACATCAGAAATTCAGAATTCAGATGACAATGATGCTTTGGCGATAGTGTTATACGCAACAAATTCTTGAAGAAAGCTAAGGCATACGATAAAAACTTTACTCTTAGCAATTTCTTAGTTTATTACTGATGTGCACTCCCCAAACTCCACACAAACTCCAAGCACATAGCATCATTGTACAGCAGACCTCTCATTGAAAGTGCATTAAAGTAAATGATGCAGGATTAGTGTAAGAAAACCAAAATACCCAGTCCTGCATTAATCCAAAAACAGGAGCAGCAGACGGCAAGAGAGTAAATATACTTAATCCTGGCACAAGTGGAATATCATCTATTGAGATATTACAAGACGAGTATAATACTTGCTAGCTATGAGAAAAAACACTTAGTATGCATAGTTGTACAGGTACCATGTACTAAGATTAAAAGATTAACATCTCCAATTACCCACAGAATAGCACATCAGGGTCCATGATGCAGAGGGCAGACGTAAGAAGCTTGAATGCATGCATAGCAACTGTTTATTATTTTGGAATATGTAAAAACAAGAGAGATCACTTGACAATGTGGCATCTACTTGTAAACTTAAAAATTGTTCTGGTTGATAATTGGCATAAAGACGAAGGCTCTAAGAAGATGGACCTTGCTTACAGGCTATCCAATGTGAAGGACATCTCCTTGGTAGGTAAGCATAAATTGGTTCAAGTACTAAAATTCCTTTTGTGTAAAATTATTAAACAGTAGTATGGCCTTAAAACGTGTGGCTTCCATGCTTGACTGATAATAAATAATGCTTCTAACATGAGTCTGTACTTCTATTCATTGTGTACCACAACTCTTCCTTCAGTAGTCAAGTATTAGATTGACCAGAGACACAGGAAGGCACTAAACTCTAAGAAGAGTCTTAGGCAAGAAAACCTTTCTCAATCCATAACATAACTGCTTACATTAAAGTATTTCTTGTTTAAATAGTTTATCTTTGTTTTCTAGAAGTTGCAATGCCAAAAAAGTTTTTATACTTATTTAATGTTTAGAATTGTATCTTTGGATATTTTACCGGAAGGGTAAGGTTGTTAAGAATCCTTACAACAAACAGGGAAAGTTCATTTTTCCTGCTTCCAACTTTTATAAAACTCTAAATGTCCAAAGAGGGGGGAGGCTTTTCTTGGACAGCATATAAGATAAACTTAAAAGCAGCAGCAAACTGCAACATCTGAATAAAAAATGGAGGTATCTCATGCCTCATATATAGGTAGCAATAGTTTAAGCATTGTGAGTGATAATTCTATTTTATATATATTTTTATTCCCCGTCCCATGGTCATATTTGTGCTTATTTGAGCTCTACGGAGCTATTTTTACTACTAATATACGTTTTCTAGTGTTTTTGTAGAGTTGATATTATTTTGTAGGAATTTGCATATTTATGTCAATTCCCGAGATTATTGAGCCACTATGAAAATATTAGAGATGATCGTACGTAATGAAGAGTATTTTAAGCCCAAGGCCGAGTTAGGAAAATTTAATTTGGTGATTAAGCGCTCAGTTTGGTGAAGGATTAATTTACAAGCTAAAGATCAATTGCATAAACGACAAGATTAAAGACCCGAAGACAAAGGGCCCAATCGGACGAAGCACATAGTGTAGGGGCGTGATGTTTAAGCGGTCCAGTTTCTTATGGGTTTGGCTTGATTGTTTAAGTCGGTCTACAATTCTACAAATGTTGGCAGAATGATGAGATAATAGGAGCAAAAATTATCTTCTTGTATTAGCTTTTAAGATAGGTTTTGTCAGCTTATGATTGTTTGGATAATACTTATAGTTTGAGTGGGATTAGGAGGCTTTGACTTTTCTTATTTATAAGGAGGTAGTACGTAAGTTTGGAGGGGGTAGATTAGGTGGTTTTAGTTGTAGTTTTAGCTTCTAGATTTTGTTCTTAACTTGTTTAGCTTTTTCTCTTTATTTAATTATATTTCTTATTGCTTTTAATTATTCTTTATTTAATTGCTTCGATTAGTTTAGTTTTAATTATGTGTGAGTAGTTCTATTTCTAGGGTTTGTGGGGATCCATAAATAATATGAAGGGGTAATTTATTGTCGTTAATTATCAATGCTAGATTAATTTCCTATTGATTGATTTAATGCTCTGTGACTAGATTTGCGCAGATCTTTTATGCATGAGTTTGACAATATTGATTCGAGATTCGATAGAGTTAATTTATAAATGGTTAGGTCGAGATTCGAAAGATGAGATTTAATACCGGTAAATTAATTGTGTGATTATAATACGTAGCGAAAGCCCTTTATAATCTGATTAAGTATGCATTGATGAATGATTATTATATTCAACCCTGGAATATTATTTATTGGTGAACCTATGCCCTAGATTCTTTTATATATTATTTTCTCCTTATTCTTGATCTCCGTAGTTTAGTTTATTATTCAAATATAAATATTGGTTACTTCATAATCTAGATTATATTAATTAATTAGGAATAGAAAGACTCGTTTCTCTGTGGATTCGATCCTACTTCCCTATCTACATTAGTTAGATGATTTAGGAATTACTTTTGATTAGGGGATACGACTTTACCCTGTGAGTGAGCTAGTCATATGTCTTTAGCATAGATATTCTAAGATACGGAAAGTGGAATATTGCCAAGCTTATAATCAGATCACCTTAAATATTGCTTATTTTGGGCTTGAGAAGGATAAGGAGCAGAAGATCTTGCAGTCAGCTGCTTTTCTTGCTATCCATATGTTTTTTTTAAGATAGAAAGAAACAAGAAATCTTCACAGCGAAGTTTGTTGATCGATTTTTATTTTGGAGAACAGGAAGTTGTTTCCTAATCCATTATCTAGGCATTTGGATGTTCATCGTTACTTTTTATGGATATTCATAATCTGATATGTAGCATGGTCAATGTGCACTTTTGTTCAACCAAGTATTATTAAGAGAAGTAAAATATAGAACTGTGATTCACTCCTACTGCTTAGCATGTACTTCTTACGTTTGTAAATACTTGCAACACTTTCCTAAATGAAAATGTCAAAAAAAATTTAAACACACTATAATTGAAAATTTTATTTGGAGAAAGTTCCACTATTACCTTGATTTAAAGCTAACCCACTTAATTATACTCCTAAAAATCACTCAGCCCCATTCAAAGTGTGTTAAAATAAAAACCATGAAAAAGTGTGTTGCAACTGTTAAAAAACGGAGGATGTACTTATGCATTGTTAGTAAAGAGTTTTTCTAGTATTCATAACCATAAAAAGCATACAGAACTTCAGTGAGTAAATCTTACATTTAGGCAAATTTGCGGAAGCCGTCCACCCATGTAAATAACTGCCATAGCCCAACCCATGTATGTGCCTATTCCCTCACCAACACCTGATGTAATCTTCTGCTGACCATTGACCTGAAATTTCATTAGCATTCAAGTCAGTCACACTGAAGTTGTCCAGCTTGCCCCACCATCAAACTCAAACTGTTACAGAAATTCCAATTTGCTATAATAAGTTCTGATTTGGGGAATTCACGAAATTAGCATATTAGTCGATTTCAGTATTCCAAGAGTTGACTCCACAAAATCAAAGATATTTTCAGTCATTTATCCTAGTATTTTTCAAGATAAGAAAACTTCAGATGCAAAAGCTAACAAAAAATAGAAAGAACTTGTCCATATCTAAGTGAGACTAGCTCTTGTGTCAACCAAAAAAAAAAAAAATATAAAAAAAAAAAAAAGTGAGACTAGCTCAATTTATCTGCCAACCCTTGCTTTATGATGCCCGTTGTGTATTAGCTTTGAAATGCATAACTCCAAAACTGATATAGCTGCCTTTAGCAGAAAGAGAAAGTAAGACATATAAAGGCCAGCAGATAAACTAAAGGATCACTGATGAACACATATTTGAACTGGAGATGTCGAATCTATCACTGAAAGTCCACACCAAAAACAAATTATAAAATTCAGTAACATACAAATAGAAGTATGCTATATTACCTGCAAAAGCTTTCTGTTTGGTAGTTCAGCAGCCAAACTCAGCCTTGTGTCTCTACGGGTAAAATTCAGGGTTCCAGCGATGAAAATTAAAGCAGGCACCTGAGTGGGAAAATTAAATGACATGCAGCCCAACAAAATCATGAGTAGTTCTTAACATCAAAAAAGTTGCAGGATTGAAGCTCACAATACACAAAAGGTTTTTTGGTTTTGACGGATGCATCGGCCTAGTTGGCAAGGATCCACCAAGCAAAGGCTCTTCAATAGGATCCTCAACATCCACTGTGGTAGAGGGTCTCCATGGTGCAGCAAAAGACCTCCTTGTTGGAGTATGGCTTGTCGACAAAGATCTTGCTGACCTAAATAGATAAAATTGAACCGTTTAGAACATTTAAACTTCAAAAAGTGCATTTGGTGGCACCAACTTTTCCACCTATACCACGGTTACACATAATATCTATTGCCAGAATAAAAGTACACGACTACTATTTTCGTAAATGGTATTCATGAGAATAAGTAACTGAAAACTAACATCAACAGATATACTAATACAAACAACAAGAGATGAACAATTATAACTTGAAAACTTTCATAACATATATCATAATGGAAAGGCAAGCGACATTTTCAGTATAAATTGTCACGAGTAACACATTTAATAACTCAAAATTACATGAGAAATAGAAGGGAGATTAAGAAAAAAAAATTTAAAAAAAAAAAAGAAAAGAAAGCGTGCAAGCCTAAACAAATACCGAAACCCATGGCATATGAAGGCTACAAGCATATTGACAAACAGCAACAAAAACAAAGAAAGCAACTGTGACTTAGTTTAAACCATACATATGAAGGTTAGAAGTTAGTTCCCTAGTGTATCTACTAAATGTTGCCAACATATTTATTGAGAGATAGGTCGGTATATTCACCAAATAGCAAGGTCAGAACTTTAAATGAGACATTTAACTAGCACAAAGGTAAGATAACTATAGGGTTTTTCTATAAAGTGCTCCTGAGGTATTGACTTTTCCAAGTTGTGCCCACCCATTTTCAAAATTCCACGTTGTACCCCCAAGGAATCTTTAGTGTCAACGATGTAACCCTGAAAGGAATGGTATTCTTCGAACAAGTATATTATTCTGATAGTGGGTTAGGAATTATTAGAAAGCTAATATATTCAGTAAGGTCAAGTGATCGGAATGCCTAGGTGGAGGCCGCTTCTTAATATTAATGCATAATTAAAATTACAGCTTAATCTTGATTAAACCCTTCGGTTGGTCACTGTAATAATAAACAAGAATCTAAGGAAAATAAACGACCTTTAAATAATATTTGCGGAAGCATACACCTAAATCGAAGGTATCACCGCCACACTCAACAATCTGTCAAGTGTTAAGGCTTACAAAATCCCAGCTATACAACTCAATAAACTAAGTGAGCTATTTATACAACTTTACAAACTCGTTATAACAAACTAATCGATCACTTGAGCTCCTTTAGCTACGATCACTTGATCAACCTGCTTAAATAATCTTGTTTGCTCACCATTAAGGACAAATTCCAAAATAGATCGTAGCAGGGCCACCATAAGAAAAAGACATGGCCGCAAACACAAATAGCACAACAAAACAACACACACAATCACCACTTATCAGAATATAGAGTATAATATAATAATTAACATTACTAGATCAATTAAACAATGTAGTTCGAAACTACATTACACATTGTACTCTGAAAAATAACCTTTATTAACTCAACCTCGAACAATAATCATTTACCAATAATGTGACATGCTCTTTGTTCTATACCTAGCCTTGAACATGGGTAATTCGAATAAAACCAACAAGTATAAAAACTTGAATACTCCCAATAACCAGAAAACCAGACCACATACGGGCCAATTCCCACTGTAGGGGGGCCATAGAAAAACAAATAATAAAGATTGTACCTCATTCTTAACTCATGATTACCATCTCCTTACCAACATGTCAAGGACTAGGTCTATAACGCCGAGCCTCAAACCAAGAATAAAATAATAATTCTCAACCTTTTGATCTCATACATCGATCAAATAACCATTCACATGATAATAAATAGTATCTCAATAATGGCACGAGTTCCCAAATAACATGACAATTCGATCACAATACCTCAACTCTTAAAAAAAATACTAATAACCCAAATATAATCAAATCTCAACCCAAAAACAATACTCTGCATTAACAACCCTAAAACCTTGATAAAACAATACTCCCTATAACAACAACATTAAAAACCCTAGAAATAACACAATCAATCAATGCGACAATTAAATCATATAATACCACACACTAATCATATACATATAAATCATGATCATATATAATTCACAAATTATAAAATTTACACATAACAATACGGAGTACAATTAATACTAACAATTTATAATCAAACAAATCAAAAAATCAATTAAGTTCGTGTGATTACATAAAATAAATAATACAATCAAATTATAAACAAACGATCTAATTAAGGGTTGATAGTGTGATTACACATAATAATAAGAGTAATAAACAAACATCTCAAAAAAAGAAGACACGTGATTACCTTCACAATACCAAATTACAAGTAAAGCTCTTTCACTGGATTTATGAAAAGGGCAAAAGAAACAAAATTAATCATCATAAACAATGATCTTCTCGATGCCGAAACTCACACTTGTGCGGCAAACTTAGAATATAAGAACAAGAGCATAAAAAAAAATATCACATTGCCTGTTTTTTTTTTTTTAACGTATATGCATATATAAATATAAGGTTTTTTTAAAAAAAAATATATATATATAATAAGTATCTTTTAAGGGTTAAAAATACTTATAGGGTTTAAAATAGTTTATGTACTTTTTAAACTGTACAGTGCTATTGAAATAAAATAGGGTTTTAAAACTTTTCGAACTCCAAAATAAAATATGAGATTAGTAAAGTTATTTAATAGATAAAATAAACTATTTTATTTATAAAATACATTATATAAACTCATAAAAAATTCGGGTATTACAATCTACCCTCCTTAAAACAAGTTTCGTCCCGAAACTTAAAGTAGAAAAATTTAGGGTATTACAGTCACACCCAAGCAATGAACGAACCGACTCGACGAATTAATTCGGAAGAAATTAATGAGTCGCCCGAGTATTAAATATTTAGACGTCTGAAATTCGAGCTTAGAGCGTCAAAACCGAGCGTCGGAGAATTCCAAATGTCGAGCCAAAATTTAAGATTTGGTGAGACGGGAAAATACTTCAAGTAACAAGTAAAATCCTAGCCACGCGAAAGGCTAGGAAAGAGCGCCAAATAGAAGTGTGCCACGTGGCAGCACACATGGCAAAACGCCATGTGGATGCACGCGTGGCAGCGCATGTGGCAGCCACGTTGGCAGCCGCCAAGTGGCAGCATGCCACGTGGCAGCGAGCCACGTTGGCAGCGCATGTGGCAAGGGCCTTGGACCCGGGTGATGGGTCATGGACACGGGCCAAAAGAAAGTAGCCCAACCGAACCCAACTTGGGGCTTAAGATTGGGTGACACATGGTTAGTTCACAATGCATGTGAAATGCCTTGGGGACCAACTGAGAAAGTGGTCCTCACCTAACCATGTGACACTTGTTACTTGTTCCTTGGTTTATTTAACTAAGGGTTGAATTCATCAATCTTTCCATGTGGAATCTTTTTGTGAAAAAGTCCCACATTAAAAGATGAGTGGAATTCACAAGCTATCCTTCCTTATAAATAGCCAAAGCATGGCTTGAGAATTCTTTGCTTAAGTAGGAGTTCAATAGAGCATTGCATTTGCAAAAACTCTTAAACTCATATAATACACGGGTTTTGGTCGAACCTCGCTAACCTCGAGGTCACGGACCTAAAAGTCGGTAGTCATTTTTGCGGGTGGATCTCCGTCGGAGGCTCTCGTGTTTTCGGGGCTAAGCTTTCAAGTAAGAGCCCATTCGGTCGAGCGAAGCACGCTCCAAAGGTATATTTCCTATTTCACCCTTCGTGTTTATTTGTTATGCTTTTGTGATTTTAATTATTGCGAGTGAATCCTTGGCTCGGGTTTTTTCCGCGGTGAGTCGGATTCACCACACCCCAACAAACCCTACCGTTAAATTTCGTTAACTATTGTCGTTAGTTTATATGTTTCACCACCAAAACTCACCGACACTCCACCCACCACCCTCCACCCACCAACACCAAAACTCAGCAAAACTCAGCCCTCGCGACCCACCACCCACCGACACACCCCAGGCCACCAGCGAGCCGAACCCCACCAGCGATCCCTACCATCACCCATCACAACCCCACCACCACAGCCAAGAACACCTAGTGCACCACCAAAGAAAGTGTTAGAATGCAATAGAGGAATTTAATTTGAATTCGAATTCGAATTGAAATTTCGACAAATTGGTTTAGGGCTTTTGTTTCATTGGATTCAAATAGCAAAATTAAGTTGTTAATTGTTGTTTTCGTTTTAAAATCAAAGAATTTGGTTCAAAACAATTGAAAACCCTAATTTTCCCCCAATTTGATTTGTTAAATCATCAATTTTGGTTCAATTAGATTGAAATTAAATACACAAAACTTGTTTTAATTGATTTTTCCAATAAAATCTGCACGAATATGGTTTAATTGCTCGAAAATCTGGGCATGAAGAACGAAAATCTAGGCATGAAGCTAAGAATGACGGTGGAGATTAGGGTCGAGGAGTTGAGAGAAAAGGAGAGAGGGTGACGCGTGCGGTGGTGGGTCGAGGAAAGAGGAGCGCAGCTTGGTGGTGCGGTTAGGGGTGCGGTGGCGGTGTGGATGGAGGTGCGGCTGGAGGTGTAGTGGTGGGTAGTTGTGAGGGAGGATAGAGAGGTGTTTGGGTTTTTTTTTAATTTTTTTTTAATTTATTTATTTTGAAGTTAATAGAAAGTTAACTTAAGTGAACGGAGGGATTAGGATAGGGTTACATCGTAGACATTAAAGGTACCTTAGGGGTATAGCGTGGAATTTTGAAAATGGGTGGGCAAAGCTTGGAGAAGTCAAGACCTCAAGGGCACATAAAAACCCATAACTATGAAATGCTGATATCCAAACTGCAAACACCAAAGATATTTACAGAGAATAATGTGGTGGAAAAAGAAAAAAAGAAAACCCTTTCTCTAGGTTAAAAAAAAAAAAAGGGTCCTATTTTCAATAAATGAAACACACCTTATGACACATGCTCAAGACTAGCAAGGTACTGAGATTTTGGAATTTGGAATAATTTGGAAGGTTAAAATTTTAGATTAGGCTAAAAGAATAATAAAGCATAGAAACACCTTCAAAAAGTAGACAAACAGATTACGTGTAAAAGGAATCTTGTCCTGCAGAATGACTACGTGGAATGCCAGGAAGTGGAATCGGTGAACTCATTGTAGCACCACTCTGATTTGCACTGGATATTGGTGTGTGGCCATAATTTCCATTTTGTTTCTCAACACCACCGTTTCGATGTACATTATACTCTCCTTCCACTTCTACCTGATGAGGCATCATATCCTGCACATCAGTAAAAAAAAATTAAAAAATAAGTCATTGTTCATTTATATAATTTTATATAAACCTGGCCCTTATCTAAAACCTAACTACTTTTAGGGACGCTGGGGTTTTTACAAAGATGAGTTGAAGAAACAAAAAGACAAACTTAGTCTGTAGTAGTAATTTACAAGGTTATAACAACATAGTAGTGGTGATGTTAGCTAACAAAGTGATCACTAAGCAATGTTGTTTGATCCAACAAATCCTCTATCAACTTGAAAGCCGTATCAAGAAGAATCATTAGATTACAAAGACACATAAATTTTCCCAAAAGACAAACTTCTGTAGCACATATCATGTTTAACATAGTTGTATACCCTTTCAACAATCTCTAAAGTTCACAAACCCAGACATATTTCTTAATTAGTACAAACATAAGCAAATACACAGGATGCAGAAGTACAAACCTTGTTGCATTGTCTTTTACTTTTTAATCGATGATAGATGTGACCATAATATACAGACTGCAATGTAAGAGTCAAGGTAGTCACGGTGTACAGCTGCCAAAAAATAAATAAATAAATAAATAATGCTGAGTGAAGTCAACAGAACAAAGCAGAAAGACATAAATTACTCCATATATGGACACTTTCTTACCAAGGCCATATAAAATTGTGTAGGAAGCTGCACAAAGAAAAGTGAACTATCAGTCAACTAAGATTTATTCAACAAGATCAGGAACTTAAATTCAAGAAGCATAAAACTTAGAAAAATTAAACAGCAAGCAATGATATCTGAATCGGACCAATGGATTATGAATGAAAGTTATTCTCAAACCTCCCAACAACTCAAGCTCAAATTCTCTAAACCCTTTCATTTACATAAGATAACCATTGGGAGAAGAAAGGAGATAAAGTGTGTAAGTATTATGCTACATTGGCCACATCTGAACAAGACTATATTTACAATTGAGCTCAAATGAAGAAGGATAGGTGTCAAGTATAAACAAAGTCCATGGAAAGGAAACTTTCTCATCCTTAAACAGCTGGAATTTCAATTAACATCTATAAATGGAAAGGTATGAAAATTCCTTTTTACAAAAAAGGGTCTGATGAATTCCATATGTATAGTCACACTATATCTGAACAGCTGACTTGACTACCTAAAGATGTTTTCGCTTGAAGCCTTGAACTTGTAGCTAAACTCCTAAGTTTCATATTCCCAACTCAATGGATACTTTCTAACAAAGTGAGAAAGCCTAGCTTTGAGCTTTAAGCTGCTCAAGAGTATAAACCCTTGAACTCAAGAAGCGTTGTGCAGGAGCATGTACCGTAGTCCATGGTGCATGAATTAATCCATGCTCATCTTATATCAGAAATAATTTTGGAAGATATAGAGGATTGAAGGAAATGGTGGAGCATAGAATATTTATATCCTCTTTGCATAAATTGTAAAAAAACCAAATATCTACAATTTTCATTGAGAAAGAGCAAGAAGGAAAACAAGAGATCTATTTCTGATGATGAAGTTTACAATATTTTCAAAAAAGGTTACTGACTTTCAGGATAAGGGGCACACTATCAGAGTTACTTTAATACCTTACAGTTTGTAAAAAGTCTTTCAGGAATTGGTCAGAACAAACAGTGGTTCTATACTACTAGGAATATCTGGATTTGTCTGCATGAGTTTAGAAGGATAAATTAGTCTATATAGTTTCTGGCAGGAAAATACAGTCATTCTACACCTTAGGTGTTCAAAGATTTGGAATAAGACCAAAAACACATTAGCCAGGCTTCATAGGACTTGCTACAAAAAAGTGTAGTAAGGGAAGCACTAGGTCTACAGTCAGTGTGAAGCATTTCAAAGATAAATGGTCATCAATATGGAAATCTAAGAATTCCAATCAAAAGAAGAACTTCTTCTTGATTTAAAAACTCTGACCAAGAAAAAAAAAATCAAGCTTTAATAGAAACTATCCAACAGGGAGTTTTCTCTAACATTCAAAAATACAAGATCTGAATTTGATGAGTGATAAACCTAGGCTCTAAGGTCAACAAGTTTAATCTGCAAGCAATCAAGTCTCACATGCATCTATTCAATGGCTTTAACTACAAAGCTTTCACAAGGTGTCTAGCTGGAAAAGCTCAGTACAATGTGCATGACCAACATCAAATTCTGTTTAGAATTCTAATGACCTAGAGTCCAGATGGCAAATACACACTACATATTGATTGGACAGTTAAGCCATGGTTATCACTTATCACAGTTGACTAAACATATTACAGTCACTATAAAATGGTCTTAAAGGACTTAAACTGTCCGATTGGAAAGGAATTTGTGTCTGTGAAGACATAGATGTGCAATGAGTTTGCATCGTCAAAAGAAGTTTAAGAAGCCATTGATAGGCCATCGTGAGGAGCAACCTTGGAGAATGGAATAAAAAATATATATATATATATAGCCTCCATTGTAATAACCATAAAAAGTAAAAAAAAGATCAAAAACCGTATACTTTCAGATTTTAAATCCTAGTATTCTTTTAGAGTTGGGGGGAGGGGGTTGTCAAGTCTTTGGATATAAGAAACACAAAATAACACTTGATTTCAGAATCACTTGATCTGAATTGTAGTTCAGATTCAAGTTAGTACAAAGCCCATAATTGCACCAAGGTATAGACTACACAGCCATTTGATCCACATTATTTATAAAAACTGAATACAAGGACGTGAAAGGGAGAGAGATAGGAAGAGAATCAAGCAACTAAACAACAGTAAGGTACAGTGTTACCTAATTCGCGTACGGGTTTGCAATCACTGCCTAAGTTGTTACATAGGGTTGCTAGTACAATTTGCCTTTTTCAGTCCAGAGGTTTTTTTTTTGGAGGGTGGGGGGGAGGGGAGAGCAAATTACGCAACACTGGTTAGGCTCAACCAAGAAAGGGGTCAGATTATGAGAGGTTTGCATCAAGGGAACAACCTTGTTTACTTGCCTCGAGGAGCATGAAGCAAATGCCTAAATATGGTCATGGCTAACAATGAACTGAGGTAGCTAGTTTCCCTTTTTTTCCTTTTACAGCTCAGTATGTAGAATTACAACTCGAGAGGCCAAAGATCAACAAGAAACAGATACATCTATTTGAAGTTCTTTGTGAGCAAATTTCATAGATGGGACTTTCAAATTTTAATAAATAAATCTGCATAATGGATGCGAAAGGAGGAAATACAGAATAATTAGCAATGAAAATTTTAAAGGAGAAACTTACAGTAGCTGGTTCTAGCAAGCAGCCGAACATGTTGAAAAAGTCCCTGCAATTATAAAAAGGGTAACAAAAAGTAAGACTGGAATCACAGTAAGTGCAGACAGATAAGTTAAACATGTCCAGGTAAGACCACAAGATATTATGATCCAGGGTTACAGAGATTATCCGTTTCCTTAACTCCTACAATCAAATAAAAAATAAAAATAAAACAAATAAAGCCACATCTCTTGGATAAAAGACCACTTAATAATTCCCTCCAAAAAAAAAAAAAAAAGACCACTTAATGCTTCCCTATAAAAAAAAATCATCAATTAATACTTAAAAGTCTCATAATAAATACTTAGTTGATGTCTGATTTTAGGATGCACAAGTCACAATATGATCTGAGTTACTACAAGACGATATTATTTGTAACTTTTTTCATCATTGATACTAACATATCCATACTCAAATTGAAAAATTTAAGCAATTTAAGCAACATCCAGACACTAACCCATTAAGCAAGTCGCGTTTACACCATAGAGGCTTAGACACACTAAGATAAGAGTCTACCTATACTTTGCTGACTTGCTGAACCTCTATGGAGTCGCATATGAAACAATCAATTTTACTAAGATAATTTCTAAGCTAAAAATGAGAGTAGCCAATCTTGATTGTTGTGTTGAAAACACAGTGAGCTTCAGATACCAGAGGACCATAGCTTTGATTCTCAGGTTCTTTTCTCCCATTTGAGAAGATAAATACATATAAGGATCAAGGAAATTGATTAGGAATAAAAATGAGAGGTGGCTTAATTGCTTAAGCAAGAAATTGATTGAATACTCATTTAATTATTCAAAGATCTTCCCACTTTTTTCATTTGTGTCCAATCCTCAGTGATTTACTTCTTTGCTTTGGTCTACTTTTGCAAAGAAAATTATTTTACCCTCGGTTACCCCACCACACGGTTTTGGTTAATACCTACTCCGTTTCAAATTAGTTGATCCGTTTGCCTTTTCAAGGTCAAAGTTAATCATTTATGACCACATCCTTAACTAATTTACAAGAAACATGATTATAATATTGGATATTGTTACTCCCTCTGTCCATATTTTTAGCACTTATCATGGCACGTACTATTGTAGATAAGTAGTTATTTGGTTATCAATTATTATTAGATTAGAAAAATAGAGGTAAAAGGCAATAGTGCAATATTATTTCATATGAAAAATAGACATACAAGGAAATAATGGAATATTAAGGTAGATGTAGTAGGAGGTGTGTATTTTATTTATAGAAATGTGAGAAATTGTGGGGCCATATCTTTTCACAAACTCAACCTTAACCATCATTTGTAATTCATACATACAAAAAAAACATATTCATGCAAATCTTGTTAGATTTTTCTCAGTATGTAATTTTGGATTATAACCTTTATATAACTTATACAAATACATTATTTGAGCTATTAATAGTCAAACTTATATGGAGTACTAGAAAAGCCTTTAGAGAACAGAGTTAGTTTTCCTGGAGAAATGGTCACTTGTGGGCCTTTTGATGGCTAAATCTAGTAAATGAAATTTCCTCTATAATACATTCCAAATGTTGTTCACACAGAATAATTCAAGGCCCCTATCAATTTTCGAGATAAATAAAAAATTAAAAAAAAAAAAAAATGAGCTAAATTAAAGCCATAAAAGAATCCTAATTTTCCCTTCTTGATAGTACTGTCATTGCAATATGCAGAGGAACATTTACATTAATTGCTAGACAGGCTAGATAAAATGATAAATAGCTAAACACTGAAATTTGTAAAAGCTGACATTAACACTTTTCAAAAAAAGATGCTAATATTATTCATAATTGTATCAGGGTACCACTAATCTTATCTCTAAAGTACACAACCCAGGTACTACATATATATAAGACAAAACCTGATCTTTATTCCAGCATTGTGACAAAGCTTAGTGACTTTTACCACATGCAAATACATAAATTATGGGCTGGAAGTATAATCACATGAAAGCAAACCCAAACAATCTCAAAAAAGATAAAACACTATTATCATTATCATCTAACAATGGAAGTACATAGCTCCTAAACTTGATTACCTAATTAGTAGGTAAGGCCGACAAACAATAATTGACTATAATAAGTTACTCTCTCCTTCCCTTAAAGATTTACCCATTTTCCTTTTCGAGACACCTTTAATTAAAAGATTGATCCAACTCATTTAGTCCTACAATCCCTTTCTACTTTACTAAGTATTTACTAGGAGTACCTCATAATTAATAACAAAATCTACCTAAATGTCACTTTCAAGTCTCAACCCACAGTAACTTATCAAATACATTCATATCGAATTATTCCACAATGTTCCGAACAGAGTAAAATTAAGGCTCCGTTTATTTTAACACATTATTCCATTCACACATTATTCGCAAGCATATGATACTACTGATAACAAATACAATTATGAAAACAGAAAGAAGGAGAAAGAAAATACCCAATAATCCAAGTAAGCAAGAAAGCAAAGGAAAGGCCTTCGGTGGATTTAGTCTTAAAATTAGTGATGATTTGAGGGATTTCGGCAACACCCCAACTAATAACACTAGCCAAACCAAGGGATAGAGAGACGGCGTCACTGGTAGTGCATAAGCAATAGCCAATGTAGTCGCGGGCCCATGCCGCACAATGCGCAGGGCAGACTGCTTCCGCCATTGATACTGTTGAGACGGTGAATTGTAGTGAAAGCGGTGACAATGAAAATGATAATAATAAAACCTTGGGTAGCGAATATTACGGAGTATTTAGGTTGGGTTTTGTTACTTTGTTATTTATTATATACTAGTAAATGTTTTTTTTATATTATATATGGGTGAGGATATTCAGAACAAAAGGAAGTTTGTTTTAGAGTGATTTGTACGAGGGGGGATGATGGACCGCTACCCGGTATAGGCTACCCCGCCCAATACCAAGTGACGTCAATTTTTTTTTTTTGGATACCTTTTATTTGAGATAAATAACAGTACTTAATGACTTAATAACAGTATTTGATAAATTAATAACAGTACCTTAATTTAAAATAACAGCTTTTAATAATACACTGATTTTTACTATAATCCGATCTGATAATTACTTTAAATGACTTTTAACGGTACTAGTTATCACAACTCTACTACTTATACATCAAAATAAATTATTTTAACAGTTTAAAAGCCCACCATGCTTCGCAATAATAGTTATTTAACTAGAGAGTTTTGACCAATACCTGAACTTAGTCGACAATGGAACCTCCGGCGTTCTGAGCTTCCGGCTTTATCAAGGTAGCTAACCCCAACCCTGTTTTCCTTAGATCAGGCTCAGCACAGATCTAAATCGTTTCCTACCTTAGTCCGTAATCTCTAATTAGACAATCCTTATTGTGTTTATGATGGAACTAAATAGACAGATAACTCATTTGATATATAAGGTTCAAGAGGATAACGTTCCCTTCTTGAACGAAACTTTTATTTAATTTGAAAAGATTACAACACTCATATATTACAACAAACACACAAACTGAAAGCTTAAACAGACATAAGCTGAAATAGAGTTTTTCTCTATTTTAAGAGAGATGGAGAACCAATATGTCTCTTAAGGTGAGTATTTTTCTCTAGAGGACTCTCTAATGCTTTCAGAGCAATTCTCTAGCTAACTCTTCCAACTCTGCCTTCACTTCTTGACCTAAGTCCCTTTATATAGGGAAGCAAACTTACATAAGATCCTTATCCTGACTCAGCAAGCAATTCTACACCATTGCTTTTTTACAAAGATACTTTAAGACAGAAACAATTAATAAAACGTGGCTACAGTAAAGATGCCTTGAATTATTGCTGGTGTGGGCTCATGCATTCATAATTTCATCCATCATCATTTCTTGTAGGCCTCCCTCACTATCTTTACTTTCTTCGTAAATAGGATTCTCTCTACAAAGGTTTGCGACACATTTGGCTGCATACTCTTCATCCCAACTCATGAATGCTTCAAACAGATACTCATAGCCTTCAAATGACAGAAACTTTCCTCTTTCGATATCTTCTAAATATTTGTAGATTGACTCGGTATTGTTTATGCCATCTACTAAATATTCTTTCATCTCGTTAGGCGCCACAATTGTTGTGTTACCAACACGAAATATGACAAGAGGAATTTCTTTCCTTTTTATAAAATCTTTAAGATATTGTGAAATGTAGAAAAATCCCAATGCTCTTGCTTCAGTTGGATTTCTAACCGTCTTCTGACGAATTAGTATGGGATCTTTGCAATACCTCACTCCCCCAAATACTATTAAGTAATGCGGGGGACTAACTTTTCCTTCTTTAACTTTGATATTAGCACATTGTACCTTTACGCTTAACCGAAATTCGTCTTTTTTGTCATCACAATATTTTCGAACCTTGTTGAATGCGTACTGCTGGAACTTTGTAAGTCTTGGAAAGAAAGAGTCATTAGGAGTAGGGAATTCATAAAAATCATGTACCATTCCATAATTCCAAGCCTTGTAATGTATACTAATGAATGGAGCATTTTTATTAAGAGGATATGGGTAGATTCGCAATGATGCAACTTTAGAGTTTTTGGGAAACTCTACTCTTTCTCCCCATAGATCTCGAAGATCAAAGAATTTATTGGACCTTGTAGCCACCAACTCGTACCATGTCCTACTTATTTTGTTTAATATTGTATCTCGTACATCAGGAATGAGCTGAAATAACATAATTGTTATCTCGAACATCAAAATCCTTTGGACTGCCCGATGGCAACCCTTAATTAAACCATCTCGCGAACGTTGTTTTGCTGATATGATCAAGCCTTGCATTAAGGCCCAACTGGAGGGTGAAACCCGCTCCATTGCCTTCTCGGTCTCATCAATGAGAGTTTTCCTCTCTACATCCATCTTTTAAAGTTGGTATGCAAGAGGTTTTTGTATAGTCTTGAGCTTCTTGGACGACATTAGCTAATTCTCTGGTCAAGCTGTCTGCCAAAGAATTCTTTGTTCCCTGTATATGTTCAACAGTAAAAGAGAATTGGTTAAGCCATAATTGCCAACGCAGGAGTCTCCCTTGCGCTTGCATATTAGACAAATTCTTTTTAACAAAACCGAGTATGCCTTTGCAATCTATTCTTATTAAGAATTTTTTAGGGGCTAGAAGATTAAAAACTTCTCGGTCCCTCTAATAACTGCAAGGATTTCCTTTTGCATTGTAGGATAGTTTAACTCAGCTTTGTTAAAACTTCCACTGCTATATTTGCAATGTCTTTCTCCTTCTTTTATTTTTAACACAACACTCCAGTGCTCATTACTAGCATCTGTTTCAAGGATTAAATCATCTTCACTAGTAGGTAGTGTTAGTACAGGAAGGTCTTTAAACATAGCTTTTAAATCTTGAACAATTTTGGAATCACTTTCCTTCCAGTTCCAAGTTATTTCTTTCTTGAGTTTTTTCTGTAATGGCTTCCTTAATAAAGCAAGATTTTCTATAAAATTAGAAGCATAGGTTAAACATCCTAGAAACCTTTCTAGTTGCTTTCTATCTTCAATTTTATCAGGAAATTTTTCAATCTTTTCTAAAATATGTTTTTGCAATATTATTTGTCCTGCTTTAATTTCTAATCCAAGAAACTCAATTTCTTGTTTAGCATAAACACATTTATCCTTTCCAAGGATTATACCATGCTCTGCACATTTTTGAGTTACTGCTTTAAGATCATTCTTATGTTGTTCTAAATCTTTTGAGAATATTATAATATCATCTATATAGACCAAACAACAATGATTAAGTTCTCTAAAAATATTATCCATTCTTCTCTGAAATATTTGTGGAGAATTTTTTAATCCAAAAGGCATTACTAGTCATTCATAATGCCCTTGAGGGGCACTAAATGCAATTAAAGGGAATGCTTTCTTCTTCCATTTTAATTTGCCAGTAGCCACTCTTACAATCCATTTTAGAAAACCATGTGGCTCCTTGTATTTTATTAAATAACACAGTTTTATTAGGAATATAATAGCCATCAAAAACAGTATTATCATTTAGTTGTTTATAATTAATAACCATTCTAGCTTTACCTCTTTTTTCTTCTGCATGATTTCTTACCATGAATGCTGGACTATTATGAGGACTTTTGCTATTCCTAATTAGCTTTTTATTAAGCAATTCTTTTATTTGTTCATCAAACTCCTGAATATCTTGGTAGGTATAAACCATTTGTCTCACTCTAATAATCTTATTGGGATTTGTTAGAGTTATCTTAGCAAATGCTTTATCCTTTTCCCAATGTTCTAAAGGATTTGTTGAATATAATTTTTCGCATAGTTTTTCTTGTTGCATATTTATCTGATATATTAATGATGAATCACACTCAGAAATTCTAAGTGCAACCTCTCGTTGTGTGGGAGTAACCCTATCACCACGCTGGCTGCGCGTAAATTCCATTGTCTGATGAGTATATGTCTTTGTTATTTTTTGTATGGGAATGACCATTAATAGTAAAGATTATTTGATCAATAGTTTGAGTGCATGGGGAGTATAATCTTTGAAAATTATTTCCTATTATCATATCATGACTAGGTTGATTAGTTGCCCATAAATTGGGAATAACACATTGAACTCCTCCAATTTCTATTTTTAAATCTTTAATTATCTCTGTATGCATCATGACACTATTATTAGCGATTCTAACTTGCATAGGATTTTTGGCCTTTTTCCACAAGAATTCTGGAAATAATGATTTCTTTCCAAAACATGTAGAACAACCACTATCAATATATGCACATAGTCTATATTTATTGTAATCCTCAATGCATATATCAATTGGAATATAAATGCTATTAGGATTAGTACTGGATATTTCATTACAAGCTTCCATTTGCATATTAACTTCATCCTCATATATTGGTTCACTTACAGTTTTGGTTTTATATCCAATTACCTTCCTTTTATCAATAGGATTATTTGGATCTTCATTTAACTCGAAATTAGAACATGATCCCATATCAATGCTATGCCTTGCCGGTTGTTTTAAGGCTTTTTTGCTTTCATATTTTTCATTTAGTTTCTTTAGTAGAACTAATATTTCTTCTTCATCCTCTTCTGGCTTTTCATCACCTTGTTTTTTTCATTTTTATTATTGTTGAATTTTGTCTACTTAGACTTGGTGTTCTAAAACTCAGATTTCTCTGTAATTTAGGCTTTGTATTCATTCCAATATGAAGTAGTCCTGATTCATCAATTAACATCTTACTTGATCTATTACTAACTGCAGGGTTCATAAAGAATTCTTCCCAAGTTTTTTCAATTTCAATTTCATTAGGATTTACCTTTATAGGTGTAATTTTCTTCTTAGGACCTCCTCCTTGCTCATATTTTTGAGCATCGACTATTTGTTTCTTAAAAGATGAGTCTATAGTGTTTACCAACTTATAAACCACCTTCCATCTTAATTGTATGGGTCGTGTTCCTTTATGCATTTTCACTCCTTCTGTTAATAGCTTGATAGCTAAGAACTTTGACGCAAAGGAATCCTCTAAGCTCACATAATATCTAGGTTCACATATATAGCTTACCATTCCTTGAATTAAGTTACATGTGATACCACTAATTATTTGATCATAAAATTCTTTATGTCTAATATCACAAATAAAACTCAAGCATTTAACATCCTTGCCAAAATCTTGCAAAGGAGTTATGTATACTTGTACTGCACCAATACAAATATAGCTATAATTTCCCTTTTCTTTATGTTTTTTAATACTTTTCCAGTTTATGATATTAATTTCGGCTGCTTTTTGTTCACAATCTTCGATTACTATACTTCCTTCCATTTCTTCACATACATATTTAGTTCTAGTTTTAAAGAAAGAAGTTTTAAATATTTTATCTTTAGTAATTTGGGGAAAATTCCAGCTTTCTTTGTTTACTTGATCTAGGTCATTATCTTCAAATGAATACTCAGCTCTTTTTAGTTGACCTATTTTTCATTTTGCTTTTATCTTCCTCATTGTCATCTGATTCTGAATTTTCTAATTCTTCTCCTTCCATCATGTTATTTATTTCTTCATAATTTTCATCTTCAAACTCATCATTAACTTCAGGTTCTTCATTATACTCATTTTCCTCTTCTACGATCTCTACTATTCCTTTATTGTTATTTAAAGCCAATTCTAAAGCCTCGTCTTCTGGTATTTCTATGTAATCCCAACTTTCTAAGGCTTCCATTAGTTTATGATTAGCTTTCTTACATTCATTAGCATAATGTCCTAGTTCTCCACAAGACCAACACTTGCATGTTTTCTTTTTCTCAGGACAATATGTTGCCTTTTTGAAAAACCTACTTGGCTTTCTATATTTATATTTATAATACTTCTTCTTATAGGTTTCTCCTCTTGATCGGTCAAATTTATTTTTCTTATAGCTCTTTCTTTTATTATAGTTTTTTCTTTCACATCCATAGTTATTTGGGAAATCCCAACAAGTGAGAAATTGTCTCTTCATTTGTTGAGTTCCTGCAACCTCTCTACACTTCTTTTCAATCCACTTTCTAAGGAAAGCAATTATATTACCTAGGGCATCCCTAGCTAAAAATTTCTCTCTCCATTCTTGATATTTTTCACTAATCTCTTCATTAAGAGGACTGGGTAATTTGTCGTAGAACATTCCAAGATTTGTTTCATTTTCACCAATTTTATAATAATATGTTTCAAATTCCATAATATAATCATCAACATATTTCATATTACAGATGGATAAATTACTTAACTTTCTTTGATATTCCATTTGTTTCTCATTAGGATCGGCTCTAAGACCAATGAACTCTAACTCAATATATCGACATAACTGCCTAAACATTCTTGTAGGTGATTCACTAGCTCTTAATGCAGTCTTTACTTCTTCATCTATTCCATCGTACCAATCTTCTACACAGCCGTAGAGACTATGTTCAATATAATTTAAGAAATTTTCTGAAGTCCATTCAATATTTAAATTAAGTACACTACTCATACTCTTCTTCCATTGATCTAAAACATCTTGTCTATCTCTTACACCGTCTAATTTAAGTTTATAACCAGTTTAACTAATGGGTTCAAGAGTCACTTCTTCTTGTTTAGGTATATCAGTAGGCATAACCTTGACACTAAACCGGGTAGTCTTCCCTGGTATGTATCTTGGTCGTGTGCAACTTCCTTCTCCTTGGTACCTAGGTCTTTGGATAACATTTTTTACATTAATAATTTCTTCTCCAACATCATTATTATCCATTACTCTTTTTCCTAGTTTGTTTTCGATCTTTCGTTGAATAACTTCTATGGGTAGAAAGTCAAGATCATTTAACTTCATTATTCCCATGTGTTGATATAAATCTTCCTCTAAAGTAGCATAATTATTTTCCTCTATTTTATTATCATAAGCAATCCCCTTTTTAGAAATTAAATTCATGATTTCGTTAAGCTTATTAGGGTCTTCTTCTTTGTCGAATAGGCCCTGTAATTCATTTAGTGTTTTCTCCTGAAGATGAGGGCTCATGTTTAGTTTCTTTATTCTTTTCTTGGTTACTAGTCGGTCTTTTAGGGAGTGTTACAATAAACTTTTTATTTTTATCTAGGTTTTGAAAAGGATATTTATATTTATATGGGACGTTTTATCTTTATTAGGTGATACTTCTTTTCCAAGTTGATGCCTAACTTCGTTTGTTAAAGCAAGTTGAACCTGTTTAACCTGTTCGTTTAGATCGCTTACTTTTTTATTAATATCGGTTGTGGTTATTGATACCTTATTTTCGATATTAATACAACGAGCATGTATGTTATCAACTTCCGATCTTAATTCGCCAATTTGATCTACTATATAATTAAAGACTGGGCCAAAATTATTAGTATTTTCAGGAATATGATAATAATGCTTAAAATCATGTTTCTTACATTCTGTAGAGGGCCTAGTATTCTCCACTTTTACTTAATTATTTATAACTTAATTTAGCTTTTAACCGTTATGGCTCTGATACCAAATCACGCAGCTTAACAATTTCTAATTTAGAATAACTGTATTGTCTTTCTTAATAACAGATTTCACTTATATAATAACGGTATTTAAATATAATACTTAATTTTTAACACAAATACTTATTCTTTTAATATATATTAGTACTGCTGAAAAGATCAAAATAACACCTCGAAAACAATATTAAAGAAACATATAACAGTATTAAATTTTATTTTAACAGGCTAGAACATAAAATAACAGTGTTAAAATAGGAAATAACTTTTTTTCCAACACTTAGCGAAATTTTTTTTTCAACGGTGGTATGGACTTTCCTAGTCCCTACCTGGTAGTGGGCAATACTTTCTCTTTGTACGAGGGATAATGACAATACAGATTTTGGGAAGTGGGATTTGTTTGGATTAAGGGTCTCTTTCAGGGATGGCAGTGGGTCGGGTTAAATGGGACACCCGCCCCATCTCCGCCCAAGTAGGACGGGGATGGAGGGAGGTTTGGCGGGTGATGGGGCGGGGATGGGTATAAAATGAGTACCGATGTGATGGGGCGGGTATGGATTTTAAAGTAGACCCACACCATATCCAATTATCCATCCCGCCCCGTACCCATCTTATACCCGCATTATATTTCTTTTAGAAGAGTTTAGAATTTATGAAACTTGATACCCTCTAAGACCCTATAAGCTTGAATAATGAAAGTCCCAATGTTCTTAATATAATTTGATATAATTGTCACTAATGTGATACAATAGAGCATCATGGCAATGGGTTTGGGACGATTGGGGCGGGTATGAGGTGGGTATGAATATCCAAGTGGGTGATGGTCGGGGATGGATCCTATCTTGTACCTGGTGGGACGGGTATAGATGTGGATATTGTACCCGCCACGGGTGGTGGGGCGGGGATGGGTATGAGATTTTTAGGCGAGTATGGGTATGGAGGTACCATAATCTGCATCCGACTCGCCCCATTGACATCCCTAGTCTCTTCTGATTTATTGAACTGAATTGAATTGAGTTGAAATGAATTAAATTGAAGTAAATTGTTTATGATAGGAGGAAATTAGGAAATAAATTGAGCTGAACTAAACTGAAATTAAGCTGAAGAGAACAGGTCCTAAGAACAAGTGAGTATGTATGTTGCTTTGGAGCTTAGAATTTGGTAGGATGAATATAGGATATCAATGAAGTAGCCTAGTTAGGTAGGTGTGAATCGCTTGTATTGGGTGATACAAATGTTTGCATAATGATCATAACACTTTCCTCTTTCATTTGTTTTATAATAGTGAAAAAGTTACCAATGTGTATTTAATTCGGTTCAATAACTCCAAACAAGCATAGTTTTATTTTTTACTACCAATTACCTCATTTACAAAAACTATGTGTTGATCAAGGTATAACATTAAAAAATACACGGGAAAAATATCTAAATTTCACATTTGTAAAATTATGTGTGACATGCTCATCTTGGTTTATATATGAATTATTATATGATATTATATTATATGAATGGAGTCAAAACCGACCCGATTAGAAAAAAACGTTCTATTTTGAATTGTAACCAGTCTGAATTGAGTCGAAAAAAATCAAAACTAACTCAATCTGTAACTATCTAAATTCAACTCGAACCCGAATTTGACTCAATTTAAACTTAACCCGACATTCATTTGATCTGACATAACCTACCCGAGACCGATCTGATTCGACTTGAACTCAAACCAACAATAGTTTGACCTGATTTGAATACAACTCGGCCCGAAATTAACCCAATAAACTATTATAGTCATAATACTACTAGTAAGTCTTTTTACTTTAAATGTCTAACTAGTAACCTTCTAAAATTAACTAAATAGCATACATGTGGGAATGTGGAATATTACCTATATATATAGGTCGAAAAATGTCTATTACTAAACACTTTTTTTATATATCTCTTTAGATCTTGTTTTAAAATAATTATTACAGTATAATACTTGTAACACCGATAATCTGGACAAATTTAAGAAAATTAGATAAATGAGATAAAGAGGGATACCACTAATCACGACACCATCATCTTTCAACTTAATCACATAACCATATCACATTATTCATGACATTTATCACCTACTGAACTGAGCTGAGCTGAACTTATTGTAGTTGAATTGAACTGAATATATTATGAGAGAAGGAAATAAAGAATTGAACTGCACTGAACTGGACTGATTGAATTTGAACTGAAGTGAAATGAAAATAAGGTGAAGAGAACAAACCTTTAGTATGCTTTTATTCATTTGACTTACTTGCAAAGCTAATTTATTTAGAATAAAAAAGGTTTGTTATTTAACATAATTTGAACATTATAATTAAATTTGAGTGACATTAATTCAATTATATTATTATATCCAGGCACTTTTAATTTAATTTTGATCCAATAAAATTCAGTTGATGTTAAGCAAATGTTATCATGTAAAAATTGTTAGATCATTGTTAATATAAATTCTGTACCATCAAATTTTATAACTTAATTGATTATCAACTTTATGCATTATTTTAGCGTTATCAATTGATTTCATTTTTTTATGGATAATATGTCATTGTATATTTTAGTATGGTAATAAATTTAAAATTTAAGGATATTACCAACTAATGCAATATATATATATATATATATATATATATATATATATATATATATATATATTCATGTAATATATATTGCATTGTATATGAGCATGCAATAAACTAAGGCCTCAGTAATTATATAGTCATGCTATAATTGTCATATCATTAAGCAACAATTTATGTATTGCAACAAATCTAATACTATATATATATATATGTATATATATATATAATATCATATCATCACTAATATATAAAGTCGATCCCGCAGATAGAGATGTCAATTCGGTAAACGGGTCGGGTTTGAATCGGGTTAGTTTGGGTCAGGTCAACTCAAGTCGGGTCAATTCGGGTTAATATCATGACCTTTGTGGGTCGAGTTTGGGTCAGGTTTAAGTCGGGTCAATAAGAGGTCGGGTTACATTTGGGTTGGGTGAATAATAGGTCGTGCTTGCTCAAGTTTTAACGGGTTAAAATGAGTTAGGATCATTATCGGGTTTGAGTCGGGTTCGAGTTATAATCAGGTCATTTCCAAGTCGGGTAATGTTTGTGTTTGGGTTCAAATATTTGGTTAATTTGGTCTCGGGTTAATTGGGATCTTGAGTTGGTTTTAGGTCGGTTATATCGAGTTTGGGTACATTTCTTGGGTTGGTTTGTTAACAATTCATGTATTGACATTTATGTTTAATCATTATCAATTTCTTCATTTATTACATTTTTCACAAATTTCAAGATAAGTTTAAATTCAAACCAAAGAGATCATGTAAATTTAAGATAAAATATAATAAGTTCATATTAATTCCGATAATTACAAGTCAGGTCGAATTTGGGTCTGGATAATAACAAGTCGTGTTGATTTCGAATCGGGTTACTAACAGATTGGGTTGAATTTCGGGTCGGGTAAAATTCGAGTCAGGTTAGTAACAGGCCGGGGTTGAATTCGAGTTGGTTTAATAATGAGTCCGAATAAATTCGGGTTAAACGAGTTTGGGTCAATCTTGGTTCAGGTCGGTTCGGTTCAGGTTAATAATTTACAGGTTATATTCATATCAGGTCATCTCTGGTTCATGTTCAGGTCTCAAATACTTGGGTTAACTCGGGTCTATTGTTGGTTTCAGGTCGGTTTATATCAGGTTTGGGTCACCATTTTTTCAGGTTCAAACGGGTCGGTTAATTATCGGGTTTGGGTCGGTATTTCGAGTCAGGTCAGCTTTTGACATCTTTACTCGCAACCAAGCTACGAGATAGTGACACTTGGCATTCCAATTATTCGACATGTGTCACGTCACGTAGTCGAAAACTAGGTTTTATTGTGACACATATAATGCCAAATAAGCGAATTTTGGATAGATTTTTCAAGATAAAATTGCTATATAGAGTTTTATTGTTAATATATTTCTAATAT